AGTTCAATTCTTAAGTGTTAGGTTTCCTGTCTTGTAAGACACTGTTGACAGTTCAATTCTTAAGTGTTAGGTTTCCTGTCTTGGAAGACACTGTTGACAGTTCAATTCTTAAGTGTCAGGTTTCCTGTCTTGGAAGACACTGTTGACAGTTCAATTCTTAAGTGTTAGGTTTCCTGTCTTGTAAGACACTGTTGATAGTTCAATTCCTAAGTGTTAGGTTTCCTGTCTTGTAAGACACTGTTGACAGTAGTAATAAACACCCTTTAGCTATTTTGCATTTTCATAGAATTCTGTGTTAATTTTGATTGAAGACAAAAGGGATTTTGTGACTGCTAAGGAAAACAACTGAACAATCGCCATTCAAGAGGAGTCTATTCATCAATACACTGAGGATCAAAATAACAGTCAAAGCCTCCTCTCTTATTCATGGCTTTCTGAGGGAAGACTTCCCAGCAGGTCACCTCTGCTGCTGTGGACAAACCAATCTGTGCTGAGCTGCATGGCCCAAAACAGAGAATTTCACTGGAGTCTGAAATTTAATAAGATACTACAACTAAAATTACTTTGTGAATAAAGTGATTTTAAAAACCATGGTAGATGTGCTAAATAAAATAGAGTAAACTTACATTTTGACTTGCTGTTGTCATGGTAACAGAACCACCTCAAGCTCCTTCAAGTTCAGCTGATTCTGTACCACCCTTCTTAACCTGCTGACCCGAGTGACTGATATCCGTGGGGCTTGTGATACGTGTCATATTCTCTGTCGAACATTTCCACACGTTCACTGTCACTGCTCTAAGAAAACACCCAATGCCCCATTGACACATCCTAGTGTTAATGCCAGGGCCATCCTTCTTCAATCTACCTTCATTAGACCACTGCGCCTTGTAGAGTCCACAATACCGGAGAGCAGAGCATGGTCAAGTGTGATCTTATGAGGAGCTGACTGGCAGATGGGGTCAGATTAGAAGCCTTAACTGTCAGGCTAAGGGACCTAGACATTTTCTGTAAGCAAAGACAGGCAGCTGTACCAGATTCTGAGTAAAAAACAACAGCCTGTAAAAAAATTTACACCAAAGGAAATTTTATCAGGCACTCTGAGATATGTGTGTAGTACACATGTAGAGGGAAGGGAGGGAGAGAAAGCAGACATCTCAGCCACGGGGGCTCTATTCTCCTACTAGCACTAAGGCAATACTGTGGATTCCCCCAGCTCAATGCTCAGTAAACACTAGACGCTTAAGTACCTTCTTTGGAATAGTTTGAACTCTTCATTACTTTAAATGCTACCCACCGACATTCAAAAAGAGGCCTATAATTGCAAAATGTCATTATATTACATGTAAATCTGTTTTGTTCTGTTTCCTGAAACAGAATCTTTTCATATAACCCTGCCTGGCTTTTCAATCCTCCTGTTTGTCCAAGTGCTGAAATTAATACATGTACCACCAAACTCAACTGAAATGCAACTTCTGATTATTTCCAGTCTGTACTGAGACAAGGATATCATATCCGTGGAGGGTGGCAGGGCTTCATTTCCTACTCTAAATAAGCGTAAGTGAATTTTACAAATCTCAACATTCATTGATTTAAAAACTATTGATCTTCTAATGAACTTTAGAAAAGATTCAGATATGAGGGAAACAATGTAATACCTGTATCTGATATAAACTAGACATTTTGGATAACTGCATGGCATTTTAGAATTTAGTGCACAGTGGATAAAATACCTGAAAATTTATTATTATAAAGAGTCGGAACTATAACCAAACAAGCCTTTCACCTGAAAACGAAGGAAATTCTTGTATAATTCTTGCTCTTTAATCTGAAGCTCTGTGGGCTGCTCACCGAATGTGTTTCCCCGGGCAAAGGGAGAGCTCTGTGCTTGCACAAGACCTTCAAAAGACAATTTGAGAAACATACTGTTAGGAAAGGAACGATGTACTAATAAACCCACATTATGAAAACAGTACCACATACAGAAGTCCGGGGTTAAGGTCAGGGACAGAAGGCTGAGGCAAGAACGTGGGGGTGCACAGAGGGCAGCAAGAGAGAGCAGACAGGATCCAGTGAGTAGCTGGCAATCGTGTCTACAGCAGCGGGAAGACCCGGGGGCGTCTGCACGCTAACGGCCTAAACACGGATGGCAGTGCAGGCCACAGAGTAAAGTGCGTGACGGAAAGATGGACGGGAATAGCCTTGACTTAAGAACGTTCTTAGGAGCGGAAAGAGAGCTCAGAGGCAGGGCATTTGCTTGGCATGTAAGGTCCTGGATTCAATCCCCAGGGCTCAGGGGAGAAAATGGGGGAGGGGATAGTTATTAATCTATACGCCTATCAGAAATTGCTAAAAATTATTTTTAAAAATTGCTAAGTCCAAAATGCTTCACATCCATAGCTTAAATACAGGCTATGAAGTAGGCTATGAAATAATTAACAAATTCAAATAACTGTAATAGGTTTTACTCCTAAAATTACTGAGTTCACCACTTTACTAGCATGCACAAGCCTTGTATCTATAGTACACACAGGGTATCTTTTTAAGGGATATAAATGTAAGTTTATTGTACATTTACATTCATATATATTGTACTGTTACATATATATGTAACATATATATCTATATATATATATCCCTTAAAATAGCATTATACATTATTCTTAAATGGAACTTATTTCAGAAAAGCTGTCTGAAAAACAAATCTCTTTGAATGCAGAGAGAAAAAAATATGACATTTAAATTTAAGTCTCACGTAACTTTTTATATTATTCTTAACTTACTGATTTATTCTTTTTTGGTTGGTTGGTTTTGTTTACTGAAACAGGGTCTTACTATGTATCCATGACTGATCTGAAATTCACTATGTAGACAAGGCTAGCCTCAAATCTGCAGCAATCCTCCTGCCTCTGCCTCCTAAGGCTGGGGTTAGAGGTTCGTGTGTTATCAAATGCTCAGTTATTGACTCATTCTTACTACTATCAATTTGATGTTTTTATCTCCTTTTTTGTGTGTTATTTATGGAAACTACTTGGTAGTTTAGCAATTCAGGTCTCCTTTGCCTTTGTATTTAAATTCACTAACATTCAGTTGACTGGATTAACAGAAAGTCCAATCAAGCCTGGAACAGCATGAGAACTTTTTCCAAAAAAAAAACTGGTCTACTGAAAGCAAACTGAGCCTATGAAAGTTCTTTTAAATCTTGGGCACCATAGAAAGCTGATAGCAAAATAAATGTTAAGTGTTAGTTTTTACCTTAATTTCCCTCAAAATTTGAATTTTTGTGACAAAAAAAAGAAATATTAGATGAAATCTGTTGCAAAAAAAACAACTTTTTTCAAAGTTTAGGGAGTTAATACTATTAGAAAGCAGACATGTAACTAGTTACCATAGTAACCACAAAAACCAGCTGAAGCCACATTAGTACTGGATTACATAGCAGTTCACTTAAGAACCAAACAGTAAAAGAAAATTCACATCATGAGCCAGGCAGGGTGGTATACACCTGAATTCCTGCAGGGGGGGCTACAGCCTCATAGTGAGCTCCTGTCTCAACTTTCCACCAAAAGGATCATGAGGAAGGACTCAAAACCAGGCCTAAGGAGGCTGGGAGCGGGCACACACCTTTAATCCTAGCCCTGGGGAGGCAGAGGCAGGCAGCTCGCTCTCCATGAGTTTAAGACTCATGGAGACAACAGTGAGTGCCAGGACCACATAGTGAGCCGCTGTCTACAAGTAACAAAACAACCACCACAAAAGCCCAATGAAGACAATATATCAGAGGACAACAAAGCTGAAAAGCATAAATTAGGAAAATTTCAGATATATCCCAGTTTCCCAAAGCCTTTTAAAAATATTAAGCAGCACATATATATGTACACATATACAGCGATGTGCCTATGTGTACACATGCATACATACACACAGCACTCATACACATATATATACACATATATATGGCATAGCACAAATTAGGTAGCAGTGGATACATTCTTATATTTACAAAGTTAGTTCAGGTTAGTTCTTAGGGAAAGAAAGCCTAGGAAATTTCAATTCACATAAAATGAGGAAACTAAACATTTTATGATGAACATCTTGAAGATTAAGGTATCACTAGCACCCCCCAGAGGAAAACCTGAGATAATATAGAAAACAATACAGGTCAGAATTTGCTGGGCATGTTCAATCAGGCTTATTTTCTTGGGAAAGGGTCACGGAAATTGTTTATTTTCCATGTCTATGCCTAGTAAGCAAATGCTTAAGAAAGAGGAAGTCCTAAGCTCCGTCAGAGCTGCAAACACTTCTGTGCATGAAGAAATGGGGGGAGACCCTCAGCACGACTCCCGAAGCAGCAGCCACAGAGAGCAGCAGTAGAGAGAGGAGCCAGAATTCTCTCCTAGCAGCCATGACATGAAAAAGTACTTGTTGTTCCTACTCTACACTGAAGCATTTCAGGTTAAGAAAAAATTTTATCAAAATAAAAGAGTCCAATTTTAAAGTTCTAAAAATTGAAGCTAGACACAAACAGTAAAAATCTACTGTGAGCCAGGCAGTGATGGTTCACGACTTTGATCCCAGCACTCAGGAGGCAGAGGCAGGAGGATCTCTGTGAGTTCGAGGCCAACCAGGTCTATAGAGTGAGATCCAGAATAGCCAGGACTACACAGAGAAACCCTGTCTCAAAAGACTACAAAAAAGAAAAAACAAAAATCCTCCACATAACCGCAGTGCAACCAAGGAACGGGGCTGCCCACAAAAGCAGCAGCAGCCATGTTCAAAGTGCTGGCCACAGCCGGGCCAGTCATGTGATCAGCCCTGACCTGGTGGGTCACCAGCAAGTCAGATGAGTGGTGACACTCAACGGCATGATTAGTCAGGAATATTTCAGAAAAACCTCCTACTGTAAAAATGTTTCCTATGATCAAAACTTCTATGAAAGTGTAAAAACATAATCAAAACACAGTAAAAAACTACAAAAGTCACTTTTATCAGCATCAATACCGAGTGTGAGATGTCCATCTTTACATGTGCTTTAGTTTTAAATGTATAGCATATACGCCTACATATGGTAAAGAAGGATGATGCCAACTTTTCCCAGCAAGCCATTTAAAAAAGACACTCAGTAATTCCAACTTACAAAAACTCGGTTATGGATGCTGCTTAATGGTACGTCAGCTCTACTCATCAACAGAGATGTGATCTGATACTAAACTTCCAGTTACTTCATTTTTTGTACTATGTGGAGGGCAAGTGATCACTTAAACAAAAAACTAATTTCTTGTATAATTGATCATAACACACCAAATACTTTCTCACTGGTGCAGTCTGGGGATGAGAAATAAAGTGCGGATACATGGAAAGACAGACCCCCTCAGGTACGGAAAGGAAGCCGTTAGCAGCGCTACACAGACACAGCAAACTGCAGAGCTGGGACCAACCGCCCACTGTGAAGCAACTGTTCCCGACTGAGTCGCTTTTCCTCAAAATAACTACTTTAAAGAAAGAAGATACTCTATGCTTCCTAATTCATAGTACCAAATTCTCAAAATTACAGTAAGAATTTTATTAAAGAACAGAAGTGAAATGTTACTGAACAGCATTAGAAATGTTTTTTAATATAGAATGGGATTAAAAACCTGGGTTTTTATTTGCAGAGTCTTCTAGGTTCTCAGCACTTGAAGTGGCTAAGTTTTGGTCTATAGACACAATAGCCCTTTTATCTTCGTGTGTCCTTGCATCTGGGTTATGGTAGGCATCTACATTCTGTCTGTGCATCCTATTCAAATCAGCTGAGAGGGAAAAATAATCCATTTATTTCAATAAACACATTTCTACAATTACTCTTACACTTAATACATTTACAAATTAGAAATCAAGAGGTTAAGACAGGACAGACTGCAGTGACTAGATGCTGGCTGCAGGTCTGGAGCACCCTCACTAAACATGCTAAAGAGACTGTGAAATCAACTCAAAACTAGGACTGAAATTAAGATGCATACATTTTGACATTCTATCAAAGTCACATTAACATACCCACTGAGAGATCAGAAATCAGAATTTCTTTAGTACAGAGCAAACACAGTGGGACCCAAAGTAAGTCAGAGTGACCTTTACCCCAAACCATCAGCTCCTGAAAACGAGCAACACAGAGCATCACGGGAGGGTTACAATGCGCGAACAAATTCTTTAGCAACTCATCCTCAAACTGTGGAACCCAAGTCTCTTCGCTACTGTGGTCCACGCATTCCCTCACGTGAGACTAAGACACTGCCAGGAAATGACACATGACTCCAGGGCTGCTTCACAAAGACATGAGCTCCATCTTCTTTGATCACTCATCACCCACCTCACTGCAGGGAAAACCAACTGCCATGGCACATGGCACTGAAGGGTGCCAGGGAGAGATCTAAAGATAAGAAACTGAAGCTCCCTGTGCTGTACATGGAAGCCAGTGGAGACATCTACACTAAAACATCAGGCTAAGGCATCAAACACAGACAACCAGGAAAAAAAAAAACCACACACTCCAAAAAATCTCTATCTGAAGAATGGCAAAGCAGTACGCACTTCTCATTTTAAAACATTACCCCGGGATGCTGTATTACCTAGCAGCAGACTTGCTGTGTCTGTTAAGTAGCTAATACCTAGTTCAACTGGTAGAATGCTGCTCTGACGTGTGCAAACAAGGTCAAACCACCAGTCTCAGAAACAGATTTGTATGTTTATAGAATTCAAATTTCAAAAGTGCATATATATATAAATAAACCTGTCATCTACTCCTCCAAAAACACTGGGTGGGATAACAATAAAAGTGAACTTAAACACAGATATAAAAGATATCTACAAGGAAGAACATTACATTCAGGGACGTATTTTGAATGTGACTCATATTTAAGATACCATACAGAACAGTCCAAATAACATGTGAACACACCCAGGAGACCAAAGCTCAGAATAGTGACATCCTCATATTACAGTCAGGCCATTCTTAGCCCAGAAAATGGCTAAGAGCTTCGAGGTTAAAAAAAAAAAAAAAAAAAAAATGTGCCAACGAGATATCCTACTGGCTAAAAAGGTGCTTGTCACACAAGCCTAAATAGCCTGAGTCCAATCACACATAGACAAAACAGATGTAGATGTGGTGGCTCACATCTGTAATCCCAGCTCTCCTACAGCAAGACACAGGAAATCTGGCAGGAAGCTCAGCTGGTGGAAGGCAGCTAGTCTGCAATACGCAGAGCTACACAGTGAGACCCAGCTCAGCAAGGTGGAGGGAACTGACTCCCCAGTTACTCTCTGGCCTCCACATGTGCGCCGTGACTTGTGAATGCCTTCTCTCTCTCTCCTCTCTGTCTCTGTCTCTGTCTCTGTCTCTGTCTCTGTCTCTCTCTCTCTCTGTCACACACACACACACACACACACACACACACACACACACACACACACACTAAGAAAAAGGAAACAGAGGAGCTGCAGAGATGACTCAACAGTTAAAAACTTGTACCCCTCTATTATGGGAGCAGAGCTCACTCCACTCCTCACACTGGCAGCTCACAAACACCTGTTACCCTCAGCTTCAAGGGATGTGATGCCTTCTTCTAACCTCCATGGCATGGACGGGAAGATGCGCATGCGTGCACGCACGCACGCACGCACGCACGCACGCACGCACGTAGAAATGGAGGCAGGAGGTAAAGGCACCCACTGCTAGCCTCAGCTCAATATCCAGGTCCCACATGGTGAAGAGCTATCAGCTCCCACAAGTTGTCCTCTGACCTGTGGCAACATGCACACCCACCCTATAACAAGTGAGTAACGGGGCTGAGGTGAGGAGGGGAGTTAGCTATAACCACTGTACATACTGTACATGTCTGTAATGTCACACTAAAACCCACCAAGGAGAGGAGAAGAGCTGGGAGGATGACTCAGTGGTTAGTGCACTTGCCAGGGAAGCAGCACTTGTGAGGACTCAGATCCTGAGAACACACAACAAGCTGGGTAGGCAATGGAGACCAGGCTGTAATCCCAGCACCCAGATCTGTACAAACAAAAGACTCCTGGAGAAAGCTGACTTGGCTGCCTGTACTAGCCATACCGGTGAGCTCTGTGTTCAACTGGGAGACCTTGCCTCAGGGAAAATGAGGAGAGTCATTAGGGAAAACTCACAATGTCAACCTCCAGCCTCCACACACAGGTACACACATGTGCATCCACACACACTGAACACACACACACATATATATATATATATATACATATTTAAAAAATAAAAAGGCGATTTTAAAAATAACATCTAAATAGTATCAAAACATGAAAAACTCAGTGACACAATTGGCAAAATATGTACAGGATTTGATATTCAAAACTATAAAATACTGGTAAGAGATATTAACTAAAAGCAATCAGTGGACAGGCAGTACACACCAGTACATCAGCAGTCAGTGGACAGGCAGTACACACCAGTAC